TAGCAATGACAATCCATTTGTTCATTCTTGTAGAAACTGCCTTTTGGGAGAAAGATTTGAAATTTTGATGACTTTGGAATGCAGAGTCACATTTGAGAAAAACACAGTAAAACAATCGAATGAGAAACCTCTTCAATTCTAGGTAGATTTTGAAGCTGCAGTGCAATGTATTTGATGATTTTTCATATTCTTCCATAGGAGTCACCACAACACCAAAACCAACTACACCCATCTCCACAACTCGCTCCACATCAGGTCAGTGATGGCTTCTTTCGATACACGATCGTAGAATCATTGCCATTAACCATCTTGTTTCCCATGTTCCCAGACAGTAGAGGGACATGATATCACTCACCGTAGACATCTATCTGAGACCTTGCAGTGGGTCGAATGTAGCTCGATCTTAATGTGAACATGAGGAGAAATGTTGTGTTGCATGTTTGTAAATGTCTCTGACTCTCTTAGACACTGTTTCCTTCCCAGTATTTACTGATTGTCCCAATAGTTGAATGAAATGTGCTTTTGAATTTCATGGTGAGTATTGTTTTTACATGACTATCGCAGGAACATCTCATCTTGTTAATGCACGATTCTCTTGACATGTTGTATTAATATTGTTGCCTTTTCTACATTAATCAAGAAAGTAGTTACTGTTCTTCAAATTCACAACTCATTTAAGCTTACATATTCATTGCCATTCCCGTCAAAATGTGTTTTATTGAGTAAAAGGAAAGATATCCGATAGAATCCCTCCAGTGTGTAAACCGTCCCTTCAGCCCAACAAGTCCACACAAACCCTTAGTGCATCCCACGCAGTCCCATCCATATAACCCACCTCATCTACACATCCCTGAACACTACGGGCAATTTAGCATGGCCAATCCACCTAGCCTGAACATCTTTGGACTGTGGGAGGAAACCGGAGCACCCGGAGGAAACCCTCTCAGACACAGGGAGAATGTGCAAACTACTCGCAGACAGTCACCCGAGGGTGAAATCAAACCCGGGTCCCTGGTGCTGTGAGGCAGCAGTGCTAACCACTGAGCCACCGTGTATTCATTTTTCTTACTTTGGTAGAACACACTTCCCTGCATTCCTCATGTTCCAGTTTTAATAAAACAGCCTCCTGGCGAAATTGTCACTGCTGAAGGTTTTCAGTTGGAGAATCAATAATATTGATTACTTTCATCCTCTGTCCAAAGTGACAACTATGCCAAAGGAAACAACCACCACTAAAGTTATTGCTGAAACCACGACAATGGGTATCTATTCTACTTTTCCATTGTACACAAGCAAGTCTTTTCGCACTGGTTGTTATGACGTTACTTCATCTCTTCATGTTTCTGAGAGTTCATGGTACAGCATTGTGGACAGTGTTTATTTGGATATCCGAAAACGTTTTTAAACAAGGCATCACTGAAAGTTCATTGGGATATTTTCTTTGAAAGAAATGGAAGCTATTTGGCTTGGTCTAATTGCGTGGTCTTGTTTCTCTGAAATCATTTGCCTCTTTTTATGGCTTGGTTTTTGACATTGTTTGGTGTCCAGTTGGGGTACACAAGGTCAGAAGTCACATGACACCAGGTTATAGTCCTTCAGGTTTATTTGAAATCTCTAGCTTTCGGAGCACTGCTCCTTTGTCAGGTGCAGTCATGCTGTGCCTTTCTCAGAAAACCCTTTTGGAGAGTCCATTGTGAAAACTGAAATCCTAATGCAGCTGGTCTCCTGACAAGTCTTTGAATTTTTGACATCTTCTGAATGAATTACATTTAAATGCCCCAGTGACAACTGCTTGTCTTGCATCCATCTTGCAACTGTCCTTTTTTTATTCTATGGACCATAACCTTTCTCAAAAGCCTGCTCTGTGCTTAAATTAAATAAATATACTGCAAATGCCAGAAATCTGAAACCAACACAGAAAATGCTAAACCGTCTGGCAGCATCTATTGAGAGGTAAACAGAGAACTTGGAACAGTATAGCACAGAAAGGGGCCCTTCAGCCATCACGTTCCTGTACATGATCCATATCCATCTATACCCTAGAAGAGCAGGAAAGCTGACGTTCTGAAGTATTTTCTGAAGAAGAGTCCCGACCCGAAACGTCAACTTTCCTGCTCCTCTGACGCTGCCTGGCCTGCTGTTTTCCTCCAGCTCCACATTGTGTTATCCCTGATTCCAGCATCTGCAGTTCTTACTGTCCATCTATACCCTGCCTGTTCATGTGTCTGTCTAGATACCTCTTAAACATTGCTATTGTATCTGTCTCTACCACCTCTCCTGGCAGCGTGTTCCAGGCACCTACCACCTTCTGAATAAAAAAACATTCCTTGCATATCTCCTTGAAACTTACCTCCTGTCACATTAAAACTATGTTCCCCTCGTACTTAACATTTCCAACCGGGGGAAAAGATTCTTGCTAACCACCCAATCATAATTGTATATATTTCTATCAGGTTACCCCTCAGCCTCCAATGCTGTAGTGAAAACAATCCAAGAATTAATGTTTCAAGTCTAATATGACTGTTCTTCAGAACTCTATTTCTATAGATTGGGTGGTATGAATTCCCTTGATTATCCATGAAATAACTGCTGTTTTCAGCTACACTTTGCATCTCTGAAGAAGGCAGGATCAGAATTCCCAGCTAGAAATGCAGGGTTCAGCAGTAACAGAGAAAAACAGGACTGAGTGAATCTGCCTGTCATTGCCAGTCTTCAGAATATTTTGGCTGGTGTCTCGACTTAGATCTTTCACAATCGCCGTCATTTGATGGAGAACGTTTTCATTTTGCACATGGAATATACAAGCTTTATCATGGCAGGATATTGACTGGACAACTGTAGCACTGTTTCTCAAGCCCATCTGTTTAATTTTCTTTTATTACCTTTCTCTTAAAATATGTGTATTCTCAGCTGTGAAGTCTCTCTCTTTCTAAACTGTCTTATTTCAGGCTACATGTTTTAATTGTGACTGCATTTATTTTCAGAAGAAACAACTACAACAGTGAAAACAACCACAGGTAGGTCTACTGCCACATCTACAACTGATGAGTTATGTTTTCTTACATTAAACACAGTAACTAATATAAAACCAGAGTATAATTTCACTTAATTTCCTGGTCACTGAAAACTTGTTCTCAGCCTTGGTTCAGAAGTCTCTCACTCACTTCAGAAGAAGATGTGATTAAATCCCACTTCAAAACCTCTAAGACAAAGGCAATCCATTATGTATTTTGCCAATTGACTTGGACCAATCCAATGGAAGTTCTTGGCCTAAGATTTGTACGACAGCGAGCGCAGGAAGAAAGAGAGGAGACCATTAAAACACCACCAAGAGAAGCCTTAAGACAATGCTGTTGAGTTGACATTTTGATTGGAGTCCATTACCACTCTACAAAATCACGGTGTTAAATTAGTAATTAAAGGAAATAACCAAAAATATTTTAGTTTCTCCAACTGCTTCAGTTATTTCATAGCTTTCTGGCTGATACTATTGAACATTCTATAGCCAATTATTAGTATTTTATATCAATATTAATTGGTGACTGTTGCTTTATTTTGCAGAGGTTCCTTGCAATGGAAAATGGTCTGTGTGGATTAACAACAACAAACCATCTGTTGAGCAAACGCATGATAAAGAACCATTAGATCCAATTCGAGATACCGTGTGTCAATCTTATGGGAACAAGATTACAAATATTCAATGTGAAGCTCTCAAGTTTCCTGGGTATCCAATTAGTAAAACCAATGATACAGTAACATGTGATTTAGACAGCGGATTAATATGCCACAGACCAGCTAGTGGCGCCCTTACATGTTTGGACTATAGAATTAGAGTTTGCTGTGAACCAGTTGAAACAACAACACTTCCAACCACAACAACGTCTGTCTCCAGAACTACTACACCTGAAAAATGTTACTGTAATTCAGACCCACCAAGGAAGGTAATCAAGTTGCGATTCATTTCTAATTGGTTTAACGCTGTGTTAAATAATACTTAAAACATTATAGTTATAGTAAATGGATCCCATTATTTCTCACAGCAACTCGCCGTTGCATGCATATTCCATGTCTCTCCCTCACCACCACCTCAGACTGAACCAGATAGTTCACATCCTCCACGTCTATTTTGACCTCCACTAAGGTTCTAAAACCATTTCTTCTCCATAATCCAGATCATTAATTACTGCTTTTATAACATCATTTGCTATGTCTCTGCTTCCATTTGGTTGTGGAAACTCTCATTCGTTTTTTTTTACTACAATACTGTCTATTTCAACATTATCCTGATGGACGTACCGCTTTACACTTTCCAAAAACCTGAGCTCATCTAAATCTCACTTTCCCATACCCACCTCACAACAAGTCCTGCTCCCCAACACTCCTGTAATGCTAACTGTGCATTGACTTTTGCTTGACCTGTGCCTCAGTGATAAAATTCTCATAATCGTCATAATGTTCCTCCCTGACACACACTTCTTTCTCTCTCTGCAAACTCTTCCAGCCCTATGTCAATTTGCAAACTTCACATTCCTCCAGTTCTGGGCTCTTAGCCATACTCCCTTCACCTGATCATGAGGAACTCCACCTTCAGCTGACTGGATCCTATGTTCTGGAATTGCATCCTTGTCACTCACTTAAGAGAGTCACTTAAGCCCACACCTTTAATTAAGTTAGTATTAAACCTATCTCATTAGGATGACCACTTTTGTCTGATTACATACCTCAAGTGAAGAACCTTGGTGCTATTTCTTAGATTAAATGTACTATACATATTCAACTTATGGCTGACACTTGATGTCTTTGGAATGAATCATTTGCAGTGATGAAAGTAATGCCACTTCGATGCCCACTTCCTCTAACAAATCTTGACTATTTCATAACTGTATTTATACTTTTTTTTGAGGTGATCCTTGTCCCTGAAGCTGAAACTCTCTGTCCCCCAATGCTAGCTCAAATCTTTCACCTTGCTTCTGTGCCACCCTTCACAATCAACCCTTCCATTACTGAGGGGTTAACAGGGCTAAGCTGATGAACAGATTGAACAAATTAAGATGTTTTGTCACTTGAGTTTCTAATGCACATCACCTTCCTAAACTGATGAAGGCAGTATAGAGGTACAAACCTCTTGACATGTTTGCTTTACATTTTACACTTCACCTCACTGTTTTTAGTATAACCCAAATATTGATATGGCAAACAGTGCTTATATTCCAAGAACGACTTTATAACAAGCAGAAAATTAGGAATTTGAGCAACCTAACTGATGTGGTACTAGGGCTTCTATGAAATTGTTATTGTTGAACACCCAGACCAGAAAGAGAGAAAACTGTTTCTTTTCATACTCAATAATATAAAGTCAATATCAGAACTGTTCAACTAATTGAAATGTTTGCTGATGTATTAAGTTACTTGTTACTCTATCCTAGTGCAATGAAACATGGCAAGAAGACTGTAAGATCATTACTTGTATTATAGCACAAACATATGAAATTACGAAGGTGCCCTGTTCAGTCCCTGTGAAACCTACATGTTATAGTGGCTTAGAATCCAAAAGTGTCCCAACTAAAGGTGGCTGCTGTTCAACATGGGACTGTGACTGTAGGTAGCTTTTTGATTATTTGTTTCAAATTCATTGTTTTTAAATTTCTGTTCATAAATTATATTCATATTACTTATCATTTTTATCTCAATGTAAATAGCATTTTCTTTTTAATTTTAGGTGAATGTCAAGTATGGGGGTATTCACATTATCGTACCTTTGATGGGCTGGGCTATGACTTTTTTCACAATTGCACATATGTTCTTGTCCAAGAAAAAACCCCAAGATACAATTTCTCTGTGATTCTTGATAATTATCACTGTAATCAACAAAGCTTCGCATCCTGCCGTAAATCACTTATTATTAACTACAACAAACATATCATCAATTTTTCAACTGAGAAAAGAAAGCCTGTGGTAAGTATTAGTGTGTGTTCATACCTGCTATCTAATATTAATCAATATCAATATCAGTATCTTGTTTCTTTACTCTATCGTGAAATAAACATTGATGTGTGAGGAGGCTAATGCAGTGAATTTTTAGAATTGTGATCATATCCAGCCCAGGTAAAGTTTCCTCTCAAGTGGTAGCCTTAAGGATAAGGTTGCAGATAATGTTTGGACAGCCTTCCCCAAAATTTTCTCTGGAAATACTGATCACTGGTCTTCAAAATGTTCTTATTATCATTTCCATTGCTTGGTTTGCTAATTGAGAATAGAGTCTTCAAATGCCTTGTTAACACATTTCCTGTCAATTCTCTTAAAAGGTAACTGTCAATGAAGTAGAAGTGAGCTTTCCATATCGTGCAGGAGGACTTAACATTGTAAAAAGTTGCAACAAAGTAACCATTTATATTCCTGATATTCGAACCACAATCATTGGTCAAAGAAACAACTTCAGGATTAGAGTGCCAGAACAGTACTTCTTAAACAATACTCAAGGACAATGTGGTACGTTTGTGTGTTACTGTTACTGTGGTGTATGCTACAGTAATAGCATCAAGTTATCTTTATATTGTGACCTTTGAAGTTTAAGAGATTCCAAAGCATTTTGCACCAACATTATAAAACAAAGTATGACACAAAGCCACAGAAAGAGATATTATATCAACTGATCAAAAAATCTTGACCAAAGAAGTAGTTTTTTCAGGGGTGTTTTAAAGGACGGACAAGAGGGCAAAGAGGTATATGGGGAAATTTCAGAACTCACAGCTTTGGCAGCTGAAGCCATGGCCAGTAATGGTGCAGGGAATCTCAAGAGGTCGAATTTGAGTAAACACAAATATTTAGAAGGGCTAAAACAAAATGCAAAATTTTAACCAGAGGATGCTGCTTAATTGGGAATTCATCTTAGTCAGTGAGCGTAGGGATGACCAGTGACAATGAGTTGGTGCAAGTAAAGACAGTGACACCAGCAGTTTACTTAACCTCAAGTTAAGGAATATTTTATCAAAGAATCATAGAATCCCTACAGTGTGGAAGCAGGCCATTTGGCCCATCGAGTCCATACTGACCCCCTGAAGAGCATCCCATCCAGTCCCTGTAATCCTGCATTTCCCACGGCTATCCCACCTAACCTACACATCCCTGGACACTATGGGAAATTTAGCATGGCCAATCCACCTACCCTGCGTATCTTTGGACTGTGGGAGGAAACCCATGCAGCCCATGGGGTGAACATGCAAACACCACGCAGATAGTCACCTGGGGAGTGGAATCAAACCCAGGTCCTTGGCATGTGAGGCAGCATTGCTAACCACTGTGCCACCGTGCCGTCCCTGGGAGACCATGGGAGTGCAGTGAGGAATCAGGTCTCAGGATTCCAGAGACATAAATAAGGGTTCAGTAGCAGATTAGCAGAGACGGGATGAGATCCAGTAATGTTGTGAAGGTGGAAATAGTGGGCCTTTGTAATGATGTGAATACATAGTCAGCAGTTCACCACAGGATCATGCACAACACCCAGACTGAAAACTGGTGTCTGGTTCAGTCCCAGTAGCCAGATAGAAGGTTTGGAGTGTGAATTGAAAACCTGAATTTGCACTAATAGAGTATAGAATGTATTCATCAATGTGAAATATTTCCCATTTCACAGGTTCTTGTTCTAGAAATATAACTGATGGATGTGTAAGAAGGAATGGAAAGATAGAACCACGTGACTGTTGTCACAAAACTGCGTTTGATTGGAAAGTTGATGATCCTAAGAAGCCACGTTGTCAAGCAGCTCCTACAAATGTGCCTTGTGAAGTGCCTCCTACTCTCCCACCATGCGAATTTGGGAAAACTGTGTGTGATGCCATATCAGGAAAGTACGTACATTTCTTTGTGTCTTTTTTTTAAAGTGACCAAATCTATCCAGATATTCATTTCACACAACTTTTTCTTAATGTATGTTTAATAATGTCAATGAAAAAGTCATTGTCTGGATTTTGTCTGGTGGGGAGGGCCACCACATTGAACAACTGTCAGTGTCATTCAGGTGCTATCCCATCTGAGCATGGCCCATTTAAAGGGGCCTCTGCCAGTAATGGCCATCCCATTGCCACTTTTTGCTGTGCTTGAAGCTGCATCCACAACACCCCTTCCCCTTCATCCTGGTGAACAGAAACCATACTTTGCCTTCAGGTGCCCTGAAGTACGCAGGCAGCCTACACTCTTGAAATATCAGTAGGACGTCTCGGCCTGTAGTTGGCTGTCACTGTTAAAACAACACCAAGAGTTCCTCTGCCCACTGGTCAATCTGCTCAGCAGGACAACTTATTTTTATGCAAACATTACAGTAATACTTTTCATCTCAAGTGTTTTAGATTGTTTAGTAATCAGAAAATGCAATAGAATTTCATTGTGATGGCTAACTGTCCACTTTCTAACCAGCTCCAATTTTGAATGGCCGTGGAAACTACTTGCCTATTTCTGAATGCTTCTTTGCAACCATAGCTTCCAGGATGTCAGCCATTCCTCTCCCTTTGTGACCTATTTGCCCTGTTTGTTGTTTCCATTCATTTGAGAGAAGCATCCAGTATTGTTCATGACTCAGTAAAAGGTGGAAGAGTACTTAAGAACCATTAATGGAGTGCACCAACTTTTAATTTATTTGTGATTCATTTTGGGAAATATTATTTTGATGTTAATAACATAAATGGAATGGTGTGGTCCTATTTTAGTTTGATAAAATTTCATTAATTCATACAAGTTCACCAGTCAGGGGGCTTTGAAAGAGAAACTTAATATGATTCTCAGTTTGTCAGTGTCAAAAGTTTGATTTGTATTGCTAAGTTTGATTGGAACAGCCATTATATTTTGAACAGATACAAACTCTGTGATTTGCTTAAGTGTTTGTATGATAGGCTTGTTACCAGTGAATTGGAAAATTAAACTTTTAACACAATAGTTAAAAAGGAACCTTGATAATTCTCTTAGACTATCAGTGCCTAATAATTACAAACACTAAAAGATTAAACTAATTATTTAAATTAAAATTAACATTATAAGTAGGCTTTGCATCAATAAGTCAGACAGTAGTTGTGAAATTATGCAATAATACACATATTACTTGGAATTCTTCTCTTGCCTATTTGAACATAGGCATTAATCCATTTTGACACAGTCTAATTGATGCTTAGGTAATATGGGAAAGAATTATATATGCTGGTGCATTACAGGCCCAATTTATGGTTAAAATAAAGCCTTGAAGCTTTTTTAGGAGGGAGATCATTTTGGCTGTTATGTTACTAATACTTATTTATGTTACTAATTACACTCCCACTCTACAGTTCATTCGAAAAATGCAGAAATAAGCAAGAACTGACTAAATATGTCAAGGCATGTCAGTACGATCACTGTGCCATGAATTCTACAGAGATGGGCTGTACTAGCCTGGAAGCTGCTGCTTTGACTTGTAATGCAGCTGGGATATGTGTTGACTGGAGAAACTCAACAAATGGATTATGCTGTAAGTGCTATGAGCCTATAGAATGATATTTAAGACTTCAAATTAAATATCTATGTATTAAATTTGTACCCACATTATTTAGATGAAATATATGGAACCAAGAAACCAAGTTATGTGCACATTGATCTGTCTTACTATGGTTTGTTAACATGGAAATGGTCAGAATGGTTTCAGGAGCCAGAAACTGAGCCCAATCCTAAATTATTTATCATTAATCACACAGGAATTGGATTTAGACAGAAATAATTTTAATTAATAAGGTCAGTGAACTGAAATGCGTCTGACCTGCCTTTTTAACAGCCTTTGGATTGAGACATTGACAGGTGTAAACAAGTCAATAGATGTGCAACAATCCATCACAGGGAAACATGTCCCATAGGGTTCTGGTTGGAAAAGTTCCAGAACAGTTTCTAAGCAGAGGTTTGACCTAGAGCCTGTTCAAGCTCATTTGCTCACTTTGTGCATTTTACACAGGAGCCAAGTTCTAAGAAACTTGCCTGCAGTTTCCCACAAGAATTGATGGTTGGTTACGAAATAATGGCTTTGAATTTTTAGTATCTACTCATATCATGAAGAGAGATTTGAGAACGAAATGGCAATTCTCTAGTCTCAATGGCACTATGATGAGATTCCTTCAGAATCGGATAAGAAACAAAAATGGATTAGTCAAAACTCTGTTATCTTTAATGGAGAAGGGATACTAGAGACTAATTTGCACCTACATGTCACTTGTGAGAAGGAAAGCAATTTATAAGGCCTGAGGACCCATTTTGAACACTTTGCTAATGTAATTTACACATTATTTGGGTTAAGAGTAGCACACAGGAAGAGAAGGAGAATGAATATTGATCATTACACGGCTGCAAGCAGAGTCTTCTGAGCTCTGAAGGATAATCCCATTAGAGACAGAATTGTCTTAAGGCTAAGAGATCCTACTGTGAGAGTGCATCTGCTGAGAGTAAAAGAAGCTTACTGTCAGGAGGCTACTGATCTGTGCAGTAACTCAAATCAACAGCTGAAGAGTGTGGATGGCCAAACCCACGATGCTGTGCACTGCAAAGGGAGAGTTCCCGTCTTCCGAACACAAGTCAATGAGGAAAAGGAAGGATCAATTTGAGATGAACTAGCAGAAAGGTCAAAGCAGTAATCTTATTCCCAACAGAATTTTTATCCAAACAGCCACTCTGTTTTTGATAATTGTAATTAACATCAGTATTTTGAGTGTCCCTATGTAACTTGTTCTTACATTTTATTTTAAGCATACAACTGCACAGAGAGTTTGACCTATAAAGCCTGCGCCAAACACAATCATGATTATTGTAAGGATGGGTAGGTATTTGTCATGCATTCTAATTATTCAAACCTGTATCATTGCTTTTAACAGTAGGTGGCCATATTCTGAAGTAACTGTTTTGATAAATGTTTAAAAATTGCCATGCCTTTAGTTACTTCATCATTGAATAAACATACAATTACAATCTTTCTTTCCAGTGAGATGATACATGGGGAGGCATTTGATGAACACACTGAAGGCTGCTTTTGTAAAAGTGGATCAATGCTTTCTGAGGATGGAACACGATGTGTTTCTTCATGTGCTAGTGAGTAACTATGAAAATGCACCATTACTTCTAAATATAACTAACAAGTTGATAAACACTGAGCACAAGTGTTATCACTGACAAAGATGGCACTCATTTAACAATGTGACACGTCTCGTTTCCACAGGATGCAAAGACTATGCAGGAAACCTAAGATATGTGAGTGCCTCCTCTTTATTGTTTTTACCAGTTTCTATATTTTTAAGTGAGATGATCTGGCAATAAAATAATGCCCTGCTAGCATCAGAGCAGAATTTCACTGGGCATTTGTATTAAGATAAGGATTCATTAAAATTGAATTTCTTTTAATAATTTTTCTAGATTTTATTAATCTGGGACCATGACATAGTTGTAAAACCTCATCAACTAATCTGTGGTATTATGTGGTAATACTGTAAAATTGCAATGTTCCAATTGTACAATGTTAGTTTGAAACTCACAGCACTGAAGGAAGCCATCAGCCTACCCAGACTGTTCTATATGTTCTCGTTTCAGGATGGTGAAAGTTGGCCGCATCCCAATGATACATGTATCAACTATACATGTGTAGAAGGTTTGGTAACAAAGACACAAAAATCATGTTCAGATCGTCCAAAATGTGATGAGGTCAGTACAGACCTGACCTTGGTTTTAGTACCGTTTGTTTGCCATGATGTGTTCTGATGGTGAAGTCTTCCTTTGTTTTTCTCTGTGTGTGATGAACTAACAGTTAAAATGCTTAAAAGAGCAGTAATAAGAGAAATGACCCTAAATTAGAGGAAAAATCATTCTGCACATTATGAAGGACACTATACTAAATCACTCATAATATCAAATGAGATAATATTACATATTGGATGACATGCCACACATTACTTTTACAACATTTGAATGATGCAATAAATCATGAAACTGTTCTTCCATCTCAGTGATCAAGGTTTTATTTCAGGCTAGACAGGTGGGTAAATGTGCACCCCCCCCTCCCGCTTCTGTTTGTTGTAAGGATTTACACAAATTATGTTAGCCAATCTTCAAGGTTGTTCCTCATGAGTTTGGGTCCACAATACAAAACTGTCCTAAACTCCTCTCAGCTATAATAAAGGATGCTGTGAGTTTGGAGTTACAGAAGTTGTTGGACAGATAGGGAGAGCTTTACTCTACTTCTAAGTTTGACCTGGGTGAGTCCCATGGTATGTGCAGCTCAATTTGAATGAGTGAATCTGCCAATTAGTGCAATTCAAGTAAGTTTCTTTAATCATAATTATGACAAAAGTACCAAAAAAAATCCCACAATATCCCTCAAATATGTGCACTATTGTTGTCCATCACAATTCTGAAGTTCACATACATAGACACAATTCAAAAGACATAGGTTTATGCCACAATGCTCACCTGTCAGAGTGAGCAGGGAGTCTTTGCTGCTGCGTCTGGCACAAAATTATCCACCTTTACGTACGACGGATGAAAAATATGCATAAACAGTCACTGACAAAAAATCTATGATAAGCTCTTTGAAAGAAAGATAAAATTGAAAGAGAGTCATAAAATGTTATCATAATTCTAAGTTAATTGATGGTATGGCTGCTATGTTCAAATCTAAGAGACACAGATTAAAACATAACATTGAACATTACTACATTGAATATGTAGTCCATAACAACACTTAGGCAAACTATTCTAAGCGCTGTTACTCAGCCTGTTTCCATATCTGATCAATGTCCTCGTATTCATGAATATATTTGAAACACATATTACTATATTCATTGTGAAAATAAAAATGCTTAACAAAACATAATGATTCAATTCAGGGGCACATTGGAAAATGTAACTACAGTTTATTTATTATCAATAAGTTCATAATTCATCTGTTAAATCTATACAATAGTTACTATTAAAACAATGACAATTGAATTTTTTCTGTATTTAGGCTGACAAACAATGGGACAAAGATCATTGCTGCTATTACTGTCAAGAGAAATGTAAATATTTCCTTTTGTCCATTGCTATCTATTTAACAGCTTATTCTTCTCTAAAATAATAATAACAACTTTAAGTTGTTGTGACTGAGAATTACATCTTCTTTGTATGTTATGGGTTCCGTAGCTTACAAAAATAATTGTATTTCAGAATTGTTTCAGAGATATTAGGAACTGCAGATGCTGGAGAATCTGAGATAACAAGGTGTAGAGCTGGATGAACACAGCAGGCCAAGCAGCATCAGAGGAGCAGGAAGGCTGACGTTTCAGCTTGACACCTTGTTATCTCTGTATTTCAGAATTATTGAATTTGGCTATGATTTGCTTTCGGGTGTTCTGACATCATGAAAGATGTTTTCAATCTGCATGCTCTTTTTTTCTATACCAATAATTATTGAGACAGGGAATGTGATTGACAGGTTTCTGCCTGACTTTAAACTTATGAGGTCTGTGCTTCGACTTCCTACAGACTGATAGGCCAGATGCTGAAGCTATGTAGAAGTAACTGCTCCAATACCTCATCGGCAAAGTATCGAAGCAAAATAAAAACCCATTGACAATTCAGTGCAGTTCATTTAAAAGAACCATTTTGACTTCTCAGCATTTGTCTGTGATTTTGCACACCATTTTACATCAGACCCACATTGCATTAAATTAATGAGCTGAGCTCATGCACTAAAGAAGTGCCAGCACCACATGACCATGCAGAACTCTTTCTCAGCTGACACTTTGATCACTTCACAATCAATAGTGCAAAGATTGCACAGCATTTTCAATAACAATTAACAGGTTCATTATTTTCAATAATGTCCTTTATAGATGATGGGTTGAGCTTATTTTATATTAAGAAATCCTAATGAAACTTTCATCTTCTGAGATTTCTTGACAATAGCTTCAAGGTTTTATTCAAAAGAAGAAAGCCTGTTGCCCCCTTCCTCTTTTACATCCACTTGATCTATCTGTATTAGTCATGCAACTTAAAATAGTTCAAAATATAACTTGATTCCTCCCAACCTCACAGTGAGACAATGCAAGGTGCAAAACAAAACGATTGACATCAAAGAAGGTGATTGTTCAGCAACCGTTCAGCTGAAAGCATGTGAAGGAAAATGTGAATCATCAGCTATGTAAGTAATTTAACTTTTTTTGTATTTTAAACAGAGTAATGAAATAAAAAAAAGAAAAAAAAAATGTCTGAAATGTATAGTAGTCCATAGACTGTGAGCTTCTCTTTTAATCAAATTTATATGATTCATCATGCGTCTCTGAAGAGGCTCTGGCTTGTAATCTCTACACACCAATCTGTGTGTCAAAACCTACCGACATGTTCATTTATTTTCTGAATACAATTCAGAATTTCCTTTCTCCCATCATGTGGTGTAACCATTTGACCCTCGATTGAAGTGGGGGATGGAGGGGCCAGGGGCATAGTTGATCTGGATGCTTCATGCCTGTTAAACCCCAAACATTACCTATTCTTGGGATGGATGGGTGGTACTTGTAAAGGGAGTTGCAGAAAGCATGTTAATGGTTTTGTGGTGTTTGTGAGCTTTGCAATGGTCATCCAATGATAGTGCAAGCCATCAAATTTGACAAATAGTTACAAGCCCAGTTTATGCAATTGAGCTCTTTGAATTTCTTTTATTATGAGAAACTTTAATGAGTTCCTTAGTGCAATTTACAGCAAATCATCTTTTGTTTGTCATATGTTTTGTACAGGGTGACTACTTTGACACAATCATGGTGTCATAGTGTTGCAAATAAAATGGGTAATTTAGTAAAACAACAAGTTAACTTGACTGACTTGTGATCTGCTTAATTGTCAGGTTTGATCCCAAAACAAATCGCATGAAACATAATTGTGAGTGCTGTCAGGAAAAAGAAACTGAGAAAAAAGAAACACACCTGAACTGCCTCAATGGAAAAACTCAAGTGTACACCTACATTTCTGCTAAATCGTGCAGTTGCAAAATCTGTAAAAGTGAAAACGATTAATGTTGTGATCTCAAAGTTTGTCGAATGAACATAATTTGTGCAACATGTGCAGATGTTAAAATCTGAAATATTTTTCTTTGCAATCTCCATTTACTTGGTTTTATTTAGTGATGAGACAGTGTTGTGAAGTTTGATTTTCTCCCAATTACTACCTTTAAATTGTGGAATTGTCACTTCTTTGTATATTTCAAAGCTTTCACCTTTTGTTTGGTGGCAATATTAAATCAATAAAGCATATTCTGCACGAATTAACATGGCAATTTGTCCACTACTGTATTTCTCCCATTACTTCAATTGCAAATATATGTGAAAGAAATACTTAATTGGTTTACAATTTAAATTCCCACTCTGTTTTCAGGTAACACACCAGCTATGTGGGTTTAATGCATTTACTCTAGATTCTAAGATACTGTCCATTGATTTCTCTCTCAGGGCCCTACTGAAGTCAATATTCCTTATAGTGATAGGCCTGAGCTGATGAAAAACTAAATCAATCATTCCTGTCTCAAAGCAAAATAACTTCAAGATAATTGCTGACTTAAAATGCCCCCAACTACACCTCAATGCCTCAATGAACACTGGATCCATTTTTAATCACTATCTCTGGTCTGACCATCCCTACCCCCACCTCCATGAATGCCCACAAAATCTGACCAGAAAGTGCACTTAGAATATGGAATTCACTGTCAAGTTAAGCACTGAAAGTCAGATAAAATGAAATCAAGAATAATTGCTAGAAGATAGAGGGCTACGTACAGACAAATTTACATAGGGATGTCTGCGCTGTTAAAACCACATTTTCTATATTTTTGATGCGCTGAAATGGAAAAAGGATCAATGGAAGGAATTCCTGGATGTTTAAAAACAAGTAACTGAAGCTCGTTGCGTATGGTGTTTACATTGCTGCTTTGATCAATCAGTGAAGGGGCAAACTGTTTGTAGATGTCCCGGCATCAGAGTGTGAATGCAGAGTGAGGTTTAGCCAGTAACAAGCAGCTGATTGGTTTGTATATTTGTGAACAGTCATGGATGCCAAACTTCATCAGCCTGGCAACAATATTCTTTTTGGTTCCTGGGTAGTTCAACTTGCTGGTGGGTGTGAACGATGCAGTGACATGCTTTCAGATTGCTGGAAGAGTAGGGAGGGTTTTTCCCCCTCTGCAACAAAATACATGAAGCCTAACAAAGAGCAGGCTTTTTCCTCATCAGTTGTTGCAAGCAGTTACCATAAGTTGCCCTGTGCTTCCTGCAAAGAAATGAAGGAACCTGGAGAAAAGATTCATGTTGGAAGGTAGAATTTGAATGCAGAATACAGGGTTAATGGCAGGATTCTCGGCAGAGTGGAGGAACAGAGGGATCTTGGGGTCCACGTCCATAGATCCCTCAAAGTTGCTACCCAAGTTGATAGGGTTGTAAAGAAGGCATATAGTGTGTTGGCTTTCATTGACAGGAGAACTGAGTTTAAGAGCTGTGAGGTTATGCTGCAGCTCTATAACACTCTGGTTAGACCACACTTGGAATATTGTGTTCAGTTCTGGTCACTTCATTACATGAAAGATGTGGAAGCTTTAGAGAAGGTACAGAGGAGATTTACCAGGATGCTGCCTCGACTGGAGGGCAGGTCTTATGAGGAAAGGTTGAGGGAGCTAGGGCTTTTTTCATTGGAACGAAGAAGGATGAGAGGTGACTTGATGGAGGTTTACAAGATGATGAGAGGCAAAGATAGAGTGGATAGTCAGAGACTTTTCCCCAGGGCGGAAATGACTATTATGAGGGGGCATAAGTTTAAGGTGATTGGAGGAAGGTAGAGGGGAGATGTCAGAGGTAGGTTCTTCACTCAGAGAGTGGTGGGCGTGTGGAATCCGCTGCTGGCAGTTCTAGTGGAGTCAGATACTTTAGAGACTTTAAGCGACTCTTGGAGAGGCACATGGAGGATAGTAAAATGTAGGGTATGCAGGGTAGTTTGATCTTAGTAGGATAATAGGTCGGCACAACATCGTGGGCCAAAGGGCCTGTATTGTGCTGTACTGTTCTATTTTCTATGTAAAAGAGATTGAAGAGCAGAAAATCCTAGCAAGTAAACAGAATCACCCCAGCAAACTCCGTGGACTGATGCTATTAAACTATCATTCCCAGATTTTCTTACCCTCCATCCATAAAACCAAAGTTTTCTCATTTGTCTGTGTTTGTCTATATGTGTGTGTCGAGAGGTTGAAAACAGGGTTAGAATAACCAAAACCTGGGAACTAGCTAGCCACTCTCTTCCACAATTTGCTGTTAGTTTTTGCCTCAACCAGTGACTGAAAGACAGTACAATTAGTGTGCCAACCACCCTGTGTCTTCGGCAAATAACTGCAAGGATCTGGAAATAAGGTGATCAGAGAATATGATATCTTCGAAGAAGCAAATGGACTGTCTCATCGAATCCTGTGGACCGGTGCTATTGAACTGTGTTTCACCTGTGTTTTTTTTATAATCCACCAGTGTATCCATGTTTGTTTGTACATCCTGTGTGTGGCTGTGCGTATAGTGTTTTCAGAAGGGGGTTGATTATGTTATGGTAACTCACTTTAGTTTGCCTCTAGATTGAATCGATTTAATTGTGATATCTAGTTAATATTAGGTACTGAATATTTTTTCTAACATGAGTTGATCAGGCTCGTAAATTAGGACCTTGAGATGGTTTGATTAAATTGTTAACTTCTGTGATGACCCTGGGAGAGTGGGGCTGAAGTATCAGTGCACTTTCCCAAGTGGATCATGACAGCCTGCATTGCCTGGCATCACCATGACACTGAAACTCATATATAGCATTCTTCCTGTGTGTATTAGGCAAAGCACCTGTTTTTCTTGAGAGTCATATCCTGTTACTGGAGACTGCTACTCATGCTTACCCTGACTAAACTTTGACCAGTTTGCAGGTGCATGACGCAGTAAGATAGACAAAGGACACAGGAGTCAGGGGAAGTTTCAGTCACGTGTGTCCAAGGATTCACTATGACCGATCTGAGGTCTTCAGGTGATCTCTCTGGAGATGCTGTTGAAGAAGGTGTAAAAAAGCAGACAAAGCTGGCACTCCAGGCTACCCCTTTTATCCACATCTTTGTGCCCTTCTTGAAGATTCTGTGACCTGTGTCGAATAAAAGCATCAACCAGGAGTAGGTAGATCCAATGAGGAGACTACTTTCTACATTTCGAGGTAGCAGAACATTGTTTTTAACCTTCGATTGTCAAGCACTGTCTTTGTAATGCTGTACCTCTGGCTACATTCTGAGCTGTATATATTTTCTCTGTATATTTGTATATACAGACCAGTAAGTAGACCACGTTGCTCCCAGTATGCCTTGATCAATTTTGGTGCAGATATTGTTCATCCATCACTTCAGTCCTGTCTGCACTTGAAGCATTTCCAAATGCTGACTTTCTGCTCTAAAGTTTCCCACTTTTAGTTGGTTCATGAGGATCTTGTATGTTCTCCTACATTACTCCTTTTTTGATCCAGAGGCTATCTACCATGGAGAATGGTTACCCTGTCTCTTTTACTCATTGGCATTACAATTATCTGGAAATTTTACATTTCTCATGGCCTGGTTTGCACTGTCCGAAATACTGCATCAACGTCTCAACATTGAATTCAGGCTGGAGACATGGGGCCAGATATATGGGATTTAGCTGGATTCACATCCTGGGAATGCTTCTAATTTTAATACTTGGTCAATCTTGTTGATTAGCCAATGTGACTGGACTAAACACCAGCACCTCTTTGCCCCAGCCCAAGCCATTACTACCCTCTATCCAGATCACCAAACCAAGCTAGATACCTCCTCCAACTCAAACCTAGCTTACCTCCTGAGCCAAACATTCCCAATTATGTCATAAGTTGTTCCACATCAACCATTTCCCACTGACTCAAACCAACTCAACTTTCTTCATAACCTGACTACACATCCCCAGTAGTCTGATTTGACGTGATTAGTCACCTAACCAAAATATTTTCTGACTTGACTACCCACACACTCCATTCACTCACTCCCTCCCTCCCTCACCCACCCACCCTCCCACTCTCTCTCAATCACTTATTCATGAAAAGACATGAAACCATTAAAAACGTACTTGAATCCAGCAACTCCTGTCAGGGAATCAGTGGTAATTGTGACATCCATTCATCTGTTGTCTTCTATATTTGCCGGATTTACTTTGGAGACGTTACATGAGTGCACAACTCAAAGTTGCAAGTTAAATATGCAACAAAGTTATTGGACAGAAAACCTGCTTCTCTGGTTCCTGGAAGGTCAGGGTTATAGTCTCGCCATACAACAATGAGTCTGTTCACATTAGTGTGCTCTTCTCAATTTCAGCCTTCAGAGAACGTCCGTTCACCAGTGCAGAACTTTGCACTCAGGTGGATTTGATTGGAAATTTAAAGAAATCTGAAAATATAGATTGTTGTTTCAAGATTAAAAATCCAGAAAACAACAAAATCAAGCCGTTATTAAGAAAGTAACAACAGGACATTTGTCAAGGCAAGATGTAGGGTAGGATTGCCTGGATAGAGGATTGGCTAACCACCAGAAAGCAGAAAATCAGCGTAAATAAGTCTCTTTCTGATTAGTAATCGGTAACTCGTTGGATGCCACAGTCTATATTCATGACATGGATGTAGGGAGAGAAGGTACAACATCCAAATTTGCACATGACACAAAAATAGCTGGGAATGTAAGTTGCAATGAAGAAATAAGAAATTTACAGGTGGATATGGATTGGTTAGGTGAATGGACCAATGTCTGGTAGATGGAGTTTAACACGGACGATCGTGAGGTTATCCATTTTGTTCAGAGAAATAGAAATGCAATTTGTTATTGAAGTAGAGAGAAACTTCAGAGTGCTTTGGTGCTGAGGGATCTTGGTGTTCTCTTTTGTGAATCACAGAACCCTAGTAAGTCGGTACAGTAGGCAACAAGGAAGGAAAATGGAATTTTGGTATTTTTTGCCAAAGGAATAGTGCACAGAGTAGGGCAGTGGTGCTGCAACAAGGAATTATTAAGATAGCCTATGTATTGCCTACAGTTTTGATCCCCTTACCTGAGGAGGCATGTGGTGCACTGAGGGAGTTCAGAGGAGGTTCACTAGATTGATTGATTCCAGAGATGAGTGGCTTGGCTTATAAAGAGAGCTTGATCACTTAAAGCAGAGACTGGCTCGTACTTAGAAAAAAAAGCAGAAGTCTAATTGGGGTATATGAGATTTT